GAGACAAACCTAGCAGGAAGAAGGGAGATATGCCTTCTCTCTCTTACCATAGAAAATATGCGCAGAAAATGATAGGTGACAGGAATGTTGATTTCAAATTTGAGGGTACTGAGAATGCTGATTTCCATGGCAACCATCTCATGTCGCTGAAAACCCTCTCTACGGGAGTGCAGGAATCGATCCAACTTAGGTGGGCCGGTCTCCTACAGGTGGAGAGAAGAGACAGTCACACCAGGCCAAGACAGCCCACTCCTCTGCTTGGAGATGAAAAGCAGAGGGGAAGGGGTTGAAGGATAGCAGGTAATAACATTTCCTGGAATAAACCTTTAGGTTAGCTCTGAGAGCCAGCTTCTGGTTGATTTGAGTGGCCCATATGAAACACAAAATCAGAAATACAGGAGAGATCTGCTTCAAAACTGCACCACTAGAGAAAGGATAGGGCCTCTGGGGATGGATTCTTACAGTGTTGGAAGCACATAATACGGCACAAGGGCTGGGATCAGTGGTCTCTCTCTTAATGGGTGAGAGCCAGGAATGGGAAATCTAAGGCCTACTCTGGGGGAAGGGAAGAAAAGAGGCCACAAAAAGGGGAGTTAGAGATGAAAAGTAAGTCCTCACTATGTGTCCTAGTCTAAGGAATAAATAAGGATGTTTGGGAAGGGGCACCACTGGAGTAACAGGAAGTGAGAGAGAGGCAGGCACAGAGGGAGCCTAAGCTGAGACTGAGGACTACAGGGGGTAGGGGGGTGTGCATGGGGTCAGATTGGGGGGATCCAGGCCAGCCCAAGGGTGAGAAGAACCCTATCTGGGAGTACCTTCCCACGCCCCACCCTCTGCAGACTGAACCTTGATTATGGGGAGAGGACTGGAGGCAGAAAGAGCACTGAATTTTCTCTCTAGAACAGCCGTTCTCAACCTGTGGGTCAACACATATATAATTACATATTGTTTTTGTGATTAATCACTATGCTTTAATTATGTTCAATTTGTAACAATGAAATTGGGGGTCACCACAACATGAGGAACTGTATTAAAGGGTCACGGCATTAGGAAGGTTGAGAACCACTGCTCTAGAAGCATCCACCTGCCTACCCCAGCCTTTAATTCAAACCTTTCTCTGTCTCTCTAGTTTCAGATCACAAACTGGATTAACCCTCTGGTTTTTCAGACAGGAAATTGGGGCCCAGAGAGAAGAAGTAACTTGCTCAAGTTCACAAAGCAACCTAGTGGTTAAGACCAGGGCAAGACACTCTCTTCCATTTCTCTACTCACCACTGGTTCCTTTCTTCTCTTCTCATACCATCTCCACACCTCCCCTTGCAAAAGTCTTTCTGTACTTATAAATCCTGTGAGGGGAAGACCTCCTTCAACAACAACAAAAAACTTAGTAGGGGGGCCCTTTGTCCTGGCAAACAAAGGAGACATGCTCCTGATTCCAAGGTTTGCTGAGAACAGCCCCTCTTACTCTCCTCCTCCCTCCTGCTCTCTAGGGACCCACACTGCTTTTTGAAAAATTTGTTTTTATTGATTTCAGAGAGGAAGGGGAAGAAAGAAAGAGAGAGAGAGAGAGAGAGAGAGAGAGAGAGAGAGAGAGAGAGAGAGAGAGAGAGAGAGAGAGAGAGAGAGAGAGAGAGAGAGAGAGAGAGAGAGAGAGAGAGAGGCCAATGATGAGAGAGAACCATTGATGGGCTGCCTCCCACAGGAACCCAGGACCTTTCAGTCTGCAGGCCAACAATGCTCTATCCACTGAGCAAAACGGGCCAGGGCCCCAGCTGCTTTGTTAAGGGGGCATCGCTGGGGTAACAGGCAGTGGGAGAGAGGCCAGCATTTTTACTCAAGCCATAAAAATGGCCCTAGGTGGGGAAAGGGAAAGGGGGAAGGGAGAGAGACAAGA